TCCGGTCGGGAAGGGCGTGGCCAGCACGGTCTTCCCGAGTCCAGGTCAGCATTAGGGCTTGTTTGTTCTTCAAGTACAACAGACTACGATCCCTAGGCAATATGCTTAAACACACGTAGAACAGAATTCGGTTACTCAGCTGAGGCACCTGGATTTAGTTTAGAGGATGACAAACTGCTATTTGACAAAGCATGCATTTACACTTAACTCAAAAGAGAGACATAACATGTTAATATATTTGCTATAAATTTCAGCCCAGTGTTGAAGGTTTTTGACTCTACGGCTAAGTATAAAATACTGACACTGTTACTCTAACTAGAATGCCACTTGATAGCCCTGCATTAATTTTGCTAGGCCAAAGACTCTTAACCTTAAAAAAAAAAAAAAAAAAAAAAAGCAGCCACGTACACTTTCTAAGAAAAGCAAACATTTACTTCAAATTGCAGTATAGGCTTTTCAATCACAAAAAGAAAGAAAAGAACAATGATCTGACAGTGGTCACATCTTGTGCAAAAAACGTGAGATACAAAAATGGCAGCACGAGGGCTGAGCTCTTACACTGCAGGGAAAGTAAGTACAGTAGCTGAGGGGTGGCACTCCTGGGCGCCGACTCCTGAACCAGAGAGAAGGCCTCCGGAATGTGGATTAGTAAGAAAGCCCCACCACCATAAATAGTACAATATTGAAAAATAAAAAAAATTGTTTCTATCTAAGATAGACAGTGTGTCTGTACTGTTAGACCTCTTTAAGTGCAGAAGGTGGTTCGGATTTTTTTAATTAAATGACTTCCCATATGCGTTATAAAGTTCCACTCAATCGCAAAAGCCAATTTAAATCAAGGAATATGTTATCAAAGTTGCATAATTTCATTTGGGACTGCCAGCAGGTTAAAGTCTCAAGTCTTTAACATTAATGTTCATTTTTTGTCAATGAAAAGTTAAAAAGTTCTCAAATCTTCATTATCCTCTTGAACTTGCCCTTCTAAATGATCCTCAGACTGCAATTCCTAGTCTGCAAAAAAAAGAATGCAATATGCATCATACTTCGAGGAAAGACGGCGAAGTCGAGCTAACGTCCTTCTGGGTCTTCTCCCGGCTCCTCTCGACCTTCTTTATGATCTCTGCCACTATGCACACCGACGAGGTAAGGCCCAGGAGAAACAGCAGGTCTGCAAGGGAGAGTCAGTAGGTCACCACTCGGTGAGACTTACGCCTGCAAACCCTAACAGCTTACAGAGGTGTGGCATTTCACTGCAACTTTTAAATACACGATTGCTTTTCATTTCCTCAGATAAATATAACCACCCTCCGTTTAAGAAAACCGGAAGAAGAGGCGGCCAGTCTCAGTGGCCCAGCAGCAGCACAGTGCTCAGTGCCGGAAGCCACACGGAGGTCTGAGTCTCAGTTCCAGGTGAGCCTCCACCTCCCCGGTGTGCCTGCACATGTGCCTGTAATCCTGGCTGGCTGGGAAGGCTGGGGTCCTCACAACGTGAGATCCTGTTGAGGGTGCTTATCTTGATCTCTGTCTCTTTCCCATGGGGAAAAAAGATCTAAAAAAAAAAATTAGTACTTGCTGGTGGTGTGGTGGTTAAGGCACTGAACTTCCACATGGCTGACCACAGTTCAAGTCCTGGCCCTGATAGCTTGAATCTCATGCTGGGTACATGTGCATGTATGCCCAAAATCCCAAGAGGAGAAAGGAGAAAAGGGAATTGTGGAGTGGCTGTCTCCCCTTGGGGATGATTTCTCACTTCCCCTCTGTGTGTATGTGTGTGTGTGTGTGTCTGTCTGTCTGTCACTCTCCCTCCAGCAAGCACACATGCCCAATAGCAAAAACCTAAAAAAAAAAAAAAAAAAAACACACAACCCAAAAAAAAAAAACACAAAAAAAAAAAAAAAAAAAAAAAAAGAGTATGAAAACCTCAAAGACTACCTTATCCACACTCACACAGCTGGGGGAGGTAGCAGCCAGAGCCAGAGCCCAGTCCTCCGGCCTCCGGCCACTCTCCCTGAACCAGAACCTCAGAAGGGACAGATGAAGAAAGAATACGGAATATCAGCCCAACCACTGAAAATTACAGCTATAATGCAGCAATTTGGTATTCAATGAGCTCAAATCTAGTCTTCTCTTCATGTAAGATGAAAATGGACACTAAAAAGTTATAAACCACAATAGCTATTATAACATATTTTGACTTGCTCTATTTCAGAGTCACCAACTAAGATTTTCTAACAACTGATAACCTGTAAGAAAACAAACAAACAAAAAAAGAAATACCTAGAAGTTAGGAGACTGATTATCTTGAGCTTCTACAAATGAAAAAATAAAGCATACGCCCTTCTCTGATCAAGTCAGTCATTTTCTTCATTATTTCGGTAGAGTTTTTAAGTTTTACGAACACCTCAGACAACACAGCAAGCCACATCAATGTCTAAACCACGGGAGAGGCGTCCCCTTTACCCAGCACACTGAGGCTCTCGGTCTGGAACACCTTCTGGAGCGGAGGGAAGTAAATAACGAGCAGCTGCCCCATGACGGACCCGAGGACCGCATAGCAGAACGTCTTATTGCTGCAGAGCCCGATCTCGAACACAGACTTGGTCTGTCGGCAAAGGGGGAGCGCGGTTAACTCCGTAATCACAGGTACAACTTGCTATTCTACCTCCGACTTTTAATAAGCAGTGCCACATTATCACTGAGTTCCGCAATGTCAACGACATTCTTAATTTTAACTATTACGTTAGAACAATTCAGAGCAGGTAACGATAAAACTTAGAGTAGTTTCTAGTCATCAAGAAAGGACCTGTTAAAATGTGTGGCAATGTATAAATGAGACTATATGAAAAAAATTGGCTTTAGCATGAAAACCCTTCAAAGTAACTCTGTATTTTGGGAAATCGTCTCTATTCATGCTTTAAGGGGGGGGCGATCTTAAATCCTTTCTTGAAGAACAGACTTAACTACGTGTGTACTGTATTAGAAAAGTAAAACTATCTTTTATTAAAACAAGAGACCAAATACCACAACTTCGAAGCTGTGTCTAAATTAGTGACATTTTACTGTAGTTGGAAAGTGCTGGCAGGCAAATGGCAACGATGCAGTTAAAGATGCATAGAGTGTTTTCAGATTAAAGCGAACAGTTATACCTCAAACAGAACTATGTGTAGTTCTCAAGAAAATATGCTCTAAAAAAGTACCAATGGCTTCTTGACTATTATTTTCTATCAAAACACTTAGACCAAGCTGAGGCAGTTACTGCTTAAGACATAACTCGGGAAAAAAAGAAAAATGTAAATGTTTTAAGCTCTGACATACTGACAAGTGATAGAAAAAAATTCACTGTTCTTTTTCTTTCAACGATGAACTGTTTGTTCTTTTACTTCTAACAATGCTTTTGTTCTGAAATGAGATTAACACTATCGTATCAGACTCAGTGAGGTCTGTCCTGGGCTCAGGTCACTTCGAGCTGAACCTACTGTACTGTACAGCTGCCGTTAGCAGGAGAAGGGGAAGGACAATGAACTGACAGCTGGGACTGAGGCTGATCTGCCCAGATGCCCAGTCCTCACTGGGACAACTGCACACGTCTCGAAGAGGACGTGCTGAGGCTGCAAGGTGACCAACAAGCCAAGCGAAAAGCCCAGAATCCTTGCCGCTGATGCTTAGGGCCCCGTCAGCTGAGCTGCTCAACTGAAATAACCTAGGCATACCTGGGACCTGGAGCTTAGTGCATTGAACATGTCAAAAAACACAAAGCACGTGAAGGTCATCGTTGTGTCTCGAGGTGTTATCACGTTGTCTCGTAGCTATCAAAAAGGAAAAAATGAAAGGACTTTTCAGCGACTGAATTTAATAGATGAATATTCCATGTTTCTAAAATGTTACCTGTTCTCTTTCCATTAGGATGAAATCGCTATGGTATGAAAAGTACAGCTACCTGAATTTCCAATAAATCACCCAGTGCAGTCTACATAATGAAAAGTAAAAACAGGTTCTCATGGATATTAAAGTATTATTATTTAATAACAGTAAAAAAGCTAAAGACTCACACTAACTTCTCCCCAGATTTTCATAAATTAATTTTTAATGTTCTACTATATAAAACAAGTATTCCCTTAGTCCAGTAAAACTGAAACATTTTTCACTCAAAGAACTGCCCTAACTTCCTAGCCTTCTGTGTAACACACCAAAATAGCCAAGCCTCCCACCGTACAGAACGCAAGGTGACAGCAGCTTATTCGTGGATGTACCTCACGCCAGAAGACGAACAAAGTCCCACAGACAATGATTACTGATGAAACGAGTATTTTAAGTATCAAGTTTTTAGTCAAAATGCTATCTTTCCAGTTGCGAGGTGGTTTGCGGATGACATCTTTATCCACTGGTTCTACTCCAAGGCTACAAAGCAAACACAAAAATGAATTTCTTTACAGGTTTAAGGTTTGGATTTGTTATTTCCACAACCTCAGTAACATCACTTATCCAGGCAACTAAATACTCTTATAGAGACAAAACGCTAAATCATTGAAACAAAACGCCCTTCACTGGATCAGACGGCAGCAGTCATCCACCACGGGGCCCCACGCGGAGGTCCCAGGTCTTTGTAAAGCGTGCTCCCGCACACGGCGTGAGAGCTGGGCTGGCTCAGGCTCGGGGCAAACCAGCTCTTCCCCCTTATCTTGGATACCACGGAAAAGCCTGGCCTACCAGCTGAACTTGGCGATGTCTTTCAGACGCAGAGGTTCTGCTAAGGAAGATTCATTGTAAAGGGCAATGGCAGACACCACTCAGTTACCCAGTTACTAAAGAGAACAGATGCTCCGGTCCTTCACTACTCACAGTCCTGACTTACATGGTTGGATAAAAGAGTTTTAAAACTTTGTAATGGCATGAAAGCAATACAAATTCATTAGAAACTATAAACTTTCATAACTTTTTTTTTGAGAGGTTTTTGCTGTAGGGTGTGTGTGCTCATCAGAAAGACAGAGACAGACAGACAGAAAGCGAGAAATCACGCCCAGGAGGGATGGCCATGCTGCAGTCCCTTCTCTTCCATTCTCCTCTCAGGACCTTGGGCACGCACACACACACGCCCGGCATGGGTTTAAGCCACTGGGTCCAGGACTCGAACTGCGGTTGACTCCATGGGAGTCCAGCGACATAGCCATTATGCCAATTGCTGGTCCCCATAACAACTTCTTTATAGTAACATCGGCTGTATTATGATTCTCCCAACTGCAGGCTAGCGTTAAGTCTTCTGAGCATATCCAATACGGGCTGGGCCGGGTTTGTTATCAGTAGGCTAGGTGTGTTAAATATTGATACGCTTCGCACTTAACAATGGGCTTACTGAGACAGCCCCATTCTAAGGAACATCTGCACTTTTACAAAATCTTCTAAAGTTGGTAACACTGAACTCAAGAGATTAATCCACACGCAACTCTGAGAAATAAAAAAAAGCTTACTCCTTGAGGACAGGCATGGCCCTTGTGTCCTGATCTCAGCCTAAGGCTAAGCATCTTACAGAGCGTAAAGGCTCAAGCCTGTCCAGCGCGGACAGCCAGGCATCCTGCCGTGTGTAAAGGCTCAGATCCGCACAGCACAGACAGCCACTCCGAGAGTCAGTGACACGCACACAGCGCACAGTCTAAAGAAACACATTACTGCCACATTCTCAGGGCTGTCTATACCTGAAGTTTTAAAACTGGGTATCACACCTTCCTTGTCTTTCTAATCTACGCTGCAAACCGTACCTCTGAGCGGGGGGTCCATCCATGATGATATTGATCCATAAAATCTGCATGGCATTGAGAGGGTTAGGGAAGTTCATTAAAGTAGCCAGGGAGATTAAGGTCAGTGCTGCTATGCTCCTGTTGGAAAAGTCATTTACACAGCTGTCAGCAGAGGAGACTTCCTGCCATAGATGATAATCGCTATTCTAGCATTCAACAATCACGGGTTACAACTGTGCTCTGAAAGGAAGGTATACTTCAAGGAACCTATGCTTCGTTTACATGGACATGTCAAAGGTACGAATATTTTAAGAAAGGATTTTTAAGATGTTTAGACAATAGTAGCAAACAGAGAAAAAATGTTTAAATCTACATAATGGTTACTAGTTCCAACAATATCTTTGGTAACTGGTTTTTGACTACAGAAACACCTCTCTACTTTTCAAAAAAGATACCAAGAGTTAACAGTGAGATGTAACCCGCCCCTCTTTAGTTATTTCAGAGCTAGTAAATCACAAAGGCTTGTCGATCGAGGACCACTCAGTCATCCAATTACCACAGTTAGGACCTACTAATGTCACTGTTAATTTCAGAATACAATCTGGGGGACGGGAGGGCTTACGTATATAAACCCAGACACACAGGAGAGAAATTTCTAGGTACTTAACTAAGTTCTACTTCCATATAAGTTATCTAGAACATCCTTCGTAATGAAATTTCTTGTAAACTTACGTGCTCAGTTGGAATCTAACAAAATTTTTAATGTTGTTATAAATCCCTTTACCCTCTTCAATTGCAGACCTGAAATTTTAAAAATAAATAAGGTGAGAAAATATTATCACATAAAAATATCTATACTGAAACACTATGGACCTCATTTTGAAAATAAATTTCCAATTAATTTAACACATGTACCACTAAAAAATGATCTATTCCTTTCTTCAGACAAGTAGTTTAAAAAAGCATGAAAACATCTATTTCAGCAAGGAATTTAAAGTCAAGTCAAGGAATTTAAAGTCTGGTAAGCCTAAAAGAACTAGTTTGACAATACATATGATATTAAAATTCCTACTCCTAAAGACATTTTTCAACATTAAAATCATAGACTGTCTCTAGACAAGAGCCAATACTGCTTATTTAAAATACCGAAACAAGGACCTTCTTCCCCCCCTGCAGCTCATTTCTCCTAGAGATTAAAGATGAGTGGATAAAACGAATGTGTGCTAGCAGTTACATGGCAACGTGAGGTACCAGAATCATAGATTAGTGATCTGTTGTGTCAATGTCGATATGCTGCAGACAAGTTAAATAAAAAGAACGGTTTGGGGGCAGCAGGGGCAGGGTGGCTACGGTGCTGGCTGACAGCTGTTCAAGTCCTGGACTTGGTGGATTGAAACTCATGCCAGGTGCATGTGTGTGAATGCCCAAAACGCCAGGAGGAGGACAGAGAAGGCACTGCGGCATGGCCATCTCCCATGTATGTGGGGGGATGATTTCTCACTCTCTCTCTGACTCTCTGGCAAGTGCACTCACCCTATGGCAAAAAAAATTTAAAAACCTAAAAAAAAAAAAAAATTATAAAAGATTCATATAAATTCTCATTCACTTTGCTGAATCTAGAAAAAGATTTTTTTAGAACTTCCCATTTCTATCAAGATTTTCACACAATTCTAAGAAAGAAAAAAAATTCTATCCCTGTGAGAGCTTGGCAAATGTTCAGGTCTCTACTACTTCGCGTTCGGCCATGCTGGAGTAATAAAGTCCTGAGACATGTAATTAGAATTTATCGCTGAAAGACCTAGCTCATCCAATAGGTGAATACAGAAAAACGAGATTCACACGAGCCCAAGTGAACCCTGTGCTACTGACGTCACCAGGTGTCCCCGACGTCCTCAGATCCAGTGGGAACTGTGGCAGGGACACAGCAACCCACATCCGTAGACTGTACTGAGAGGGGGCGGTGCGAGCTGTGCTGATGTAAAGGTGTGGTATGAATCGACGACTTCTGGCCCTGAGGCCACACACGTCCCTACCTCTGACACCTGGCCGAGTGCATGGAAGGCCCCGCGGAGGGCCGCTGCCGGCCCGGCAATGCCCTGGAGCCCCCGAGACGAGGCCACGCCAGGTCTGAGGGGGCATGTGCGAGGTGTGCAGCCCTGCCACTCCTCAGGCCCGGTCTCTCTGCACAAGACACTCTCTCCAGCAATCAGCCTGGACCCGGCGCTCACGTGCTGCTGCTTCTCTACCCGTCAGACTGCCCGGGAAGGCGCCCTGCTACCCCTGCAGCATGGCTTACGGCTTACATTATGGTCTGGAAGTCGTCATCCACCAGGATCATGTCAGCGGCCTCTTTGCAAACGTCTGTGCCGGTCTGGCCCATTGCGACCCCAATGTCTGCAGCCTTGAGAGCGACTGCGTCATTTACCCCATCCCCGGTCATGGCGACAACCGAGCCGTTCTTCTGGAGGGACTGCAGTGAGGCAGGGGAGGCACAAGTGGGGAATGCTGACGAAAATGTGCTTCTGCACAGATCAAAGAACTTTAAAACCCTCTCACTACTTTTTCCAAAATTAAGATCAGAGAGAATACAGTTCACTCATTTTTCAATAAACTTCAATACATAAAGGCCTTAATAAGGTAAGGAAACGCTTAGGAAAAGTTCTAATCATTCCCATCTGTACCAACTATCAATATATACCTAAAAATCTGACCTATGGTCAACTTCCCAACGACTTTTATCCAGGGGCAAGTCAGATGTGCCGGGGGAGGTGTGACCGTGTTTGGGGATCTCTCTGATTGTCTGACTGGGGTGTCATTGGCATCTGGCGAAGAGGGACTAGGGGTACTGCTCAGCCCTCGACAATACATGGGGCAGCCCTTACAACAAAGAACGACCCGGTGCAGACTCACCCGTGCGGAAGCTGAAGCTGAGGTATACACGGCTGGTGACGAGTCACCTAAGTCCGTTAACGGCTGAATACTATGCCAGGTGACCTCTAGATATCTGACTAACGTAAGTAACCATCGCCTTGTACGTGCTGTCACCCTCTCGTAACGTTCTTCTTGCTGTATGTTTAGTTTCTGAAAAATTACTGCTGTTCACATGGGTGTGATTTGGCTATGAACCCTTAAGAACATGCTTCTACACTGTCTCTAGAAGGCTTGACAGTTCTTCCGTATCCTCTATGCCAACTAGATTTCCTATCGAATTTCCACGCTGAAAAAAAAAAAAAAAAAAAAAAAAACCCGAACACACACCTACTTTACTCCATAAAACTTTTGACTTTCTCTGGTCTTGTTTTTGCTATAGGGCACATGTGCTCACCAAAGACACAGAGAGAGACGGTGAGAAATCACCACACGGGCTGCAATCCCCTCTCCTCCACTCTCCTCTTGGGATTTGGCATCTCACACATGTGCCCAGCACGGTTCTCAAGCCATAGGTGTACGAGTGGAACTGCTCGGCTGGGCATGTGGGGTCCAGCCCTGAGCCACCTGCCCCAAGGGGCCCAACCATGCTCCAGATGGTGACGCTCACTCAGTGAGGACTCCTCGTCATGCAGACGGGACAGAAGACAAAGTAGCTGCACTTTTTATGTGGGAATAAACAATCAGATTCTCAGACACTCACCTTAATAATTTTCATCTTGTGCCGTGGGCTAGCTCTGTAAAACACCGCAACCTGTTAAAATACAGGACACACTAAAAATTTTCAAGGTTAAAAAATATCTGACTAACTCATGCATTTAGAATTTATTTTTTGTATCAATTTAAGGTGTATTTAATTTGCCAGAGGTGCTTAAGCAATATGCTGTTTGTTAGGACACCCACTGAGCGTGGCCTCCCCCATACACAATTTACTTAAAATGCATTAATATCAAAGGTAGAAAGACATTTCCACAAAAGACTGTTTTCTCAAAAACTGGTGCTCGAACAAGTGAACATTCATATGTAAAGAAAATGAATGTAACCCACTATAACGTATACAAAAATACTCAAAATGGGGACCAGCAGTTAGGCTAATGGCTATGTCACTGAACTCCCATGTAGTCAACTGCAGTTCGAGTCCCGGACCCGGTGGCTTAAACTCCCGCCAGGTGCGTGTGCATGTGTGTCCAAGATCCTGAGAGGAGAATGGAGGAGAAGGGATTGCAGCATGGCCATCCCTGAGGGGTGATTTCTCGCTTTCTATCTCTCTGTCTCTGTCTGTCTGGTGAGCACACGCGCCCTATGGCAAAAACCTCTCCAAATAAATAAATAAATAAATAAATAATACTCAAAATGGATGCGAGACCTAAGTATAAAACCTAAAATAAAACTACATGACTTTTAGAAGGAAACACAGCAGAAAATTTTTGTGATCCTGAGTTATGCAGCACTCTTGGATAAAACATCAAAATCAAGATCCATAAAAGAAATTGAGAAAAGGCAATTCATCAAAAATAAAAATTGCTTTCTGAAAGATAGTTTTAAGAGACTAGAAAGGTCAGCCGCAGACTAGGAAGAGAAATTTTCCAAGTGATTATCTAATAAAGGAGTCGTAGCTATAATATGTAAAGAATTTAGGTATTGCATACATAAACTGTATCAATTTAATAATTAAAACAAATTGTTTAAAAAGGCAAGGCAGACACTTCACTAAAGAAAATAGAAACACAATGTGAAGAAATACTCAGAATCACGAGTGGTGAGAGAAACACAAATGAAAGCTGTAGTCAGCTGCTGCTGTGGCCTAGCGTTCACAGCGGGTCATGGAGAGGAGGCGGGCACAGCAACTGAGCTCGGACACCGCAGGGGACAAACGATACAGGCGCCTTGGAAAGCACTTCGGCATACACCAAGCTAAGCACACTCTGCCTATATGACCCAGAAATCACTCGCCAGTATTTACCCGAGAGAAGTGAGAAATCATGTTCAGACAAAAACCTACATAGAAATGCCAACAGCAGTTCTAACCATCATCAGCAGAGACTGGAAACCATCGGGAAATCTCTAAGTGGGTACGGACGGGGAAGGACACCCACACAGCAGAGTGCACCGGGGTCATCAGGAAGGTCAGGACGCACTGCACAGAGAACAGAGGGCTCTACGTCTAGACTTTCCCAATGACCTAATGAGAAGCAACAAAAATAGTCACTGGGGCCAGCCGATGGCATAGGGGTTACCTTACTGGATTCCCACACGGCCAATCATGGTTTGAATCTGGTACCGGATGGTTTGAGACTCACGCCAGGCATGTGTGCGTGCACACCCAAGATCCCAGGAGGAGGAGGGATTGCAGCGTGGTCGTCCCCACTATGGGGTAGTCTCTCACTTTCCTGCTCACTGTCTCTGTCTGTCTCTGGCAAATGCACATGCCCTATGGTAAAATCCTCTAATAATAAAAGTACTACCACTGATACCTAACCATCAAGACAAATTTCAAATGCACTGTACTAAATAAAAGCAGATTCGAAAGCCACATTACGATGCCATCTGTGAAGTTCTCTGGAGAAGGCAGAACTACCAGAGCAGAAAACGAGTCTGTGGCTGCCCAGGGGGCTGCTGATTTCCAAATGGCACAAGAGAATCTGGGAGGGCCAGGAAGCCATGCTGGGTCCGGACTGTGGTGGTGGTTACAAGAGCTCTTGTGCCGTGGGCTAGCTCTGTAAAACACCGCAACCTGTTAAAATACAGGACACACTAAAAATTTTCAAGGTTAAAAAATATCTGACTAACTCATGCATTTAGAATTTATTTTTTGTATCAATTTAAGGTGTATTTAATTTGCCAGAGGTGCTTAAGCAATATGCTGTTTGTTAGGACACCCACTGAGCGTGGCCTCCCCCATACACAATTTACTTAAAATGCATTAATATCAAAGGTAGAAAGACATTTCCACAAAAGACTGTTTTCTCAAAAACTGGTGCTCGAACAAGTGAACATTCATATGTAAAGAAAATGAATGTAACCCACTATAACGTATACAAAAATACTCAAAATGGGGACCAGCAGTTAGGCTAATGGCTATGTCACTGAACTCCCATGTAGTCAACTGCAGTTCGAGTCCCGGACCCGGTGGCTTAAACTCCCGCCAGGTGCGTGTGCATGTGTGTCCAAGATCCTGAGAGGAGAATGGAGGAGAAGGGATTGCAGCATGGCCATCCCTGAGGGGTGATTTCTCGCTTTCTATCTCTCTGTCTCTGTCTGTCTGGTGAGCACACGCGCCCTATGGCAAAAACCTCTCCAAATAAATAAATAAATAAATAAATAATACTCAAAATGGATGCGAGACCTAAGTATAAAACCTAAAATAAAACTACATGACTTTTAGAAGGAAACACAGCAGAAAATTTTTGTGATCCTGAGTTATGCAGCACTCTTGGATAAAACATCAAAATCAAGATCCATAAAAGAAATTGAGAAAAGGCAATTCATCAAAAATAAAAATTGCTTTCTGAAAGATAGTTTTAAGAGACTAGAAAGGTCAGCCGCAGACTAGGAAGAGAAATTTTCCAAGTGATTATCTAATAAAGGAGTCGTAGCTATAATATGTAAAGAATTTAGGTATTGCATACATAAACTGTATCAATTTAATAATTAAAACAAATTGTTTAAAAAGGCAAGGCAGACACTTCACTAAAGAAAATAGAAACACAATGTGAAGAAATACTCAGAATCACGAGTGGTGAGAGAAACACAAATGAAAGCTGTAGTCAGCTGCTGCTGTGGCCTAGCGTTCACAGCGGGTCATGGAGAGGAGGCGGGCACAGCAACTGAGCTCGGACACCGCAGGGGACAAACGATACAGGCGCCTTGGAAAGCACTTCGGCATACACCAAGCTAAGCACACTCTGCCTATATGACCCAGAAATCACTCGCCAGTATTTACCCGAGAGAAGTGAGAAATCATGTTCAGACAAAAACCTACATAGAAATGCCAACAGCAGTTCTAACCATCATCAGCAGAGACTGGAAACCATCGGGAAATCTCTAAGTGGGTACGGACGGGGAAGGACACCCACACAGCAGAGTGCACCGGGGGCATCAGGAAGGTCAGGACGCACTGCACAGAGAACAGAGGGCTCTACGTCTAGACTTTCCCAATGACCTAATGAGAAGCAACAAAAATAGTCACTGGGGCCAGCCGATGGCATAGGGGTTACCTTACTGGATTCCCACACGGCCAATCATGGTTTGAATCTGGTACCGGATGGTTTGAGACTCACGCCAGGCATGTGTGCGTGCACACCCAAGATCCCAGGAGGAGGAGGGATTGCAGCGTGGTCGTCCCCACTATGGGGTAGTCTCTCACTTTCCTGCTCACTGTCTCTGTCTGTCTCTGGCAAATGCACATGCCCTATGGTAAAATCCTCTAATAATAAAAGTACTACCACTGATACCTAACCATCAAGACAAATTTCAAATGCACTGTACTAAATAAAAGCAGATTCGAAAGCCACATTACGATGCCATCTGTGAAGTTCTCTGGAGAAGGCAGAACTACCAGAGCAGAAAACGAGTCTGTGGCTGCCCAGGGGGCTGCTGATTTCCAAATGGCACAAGAGAATCTGGGAGGGCCAGGAAGCCATGCTGGGTCCGGACTGTGGTGGTGGTTACAAGAGCGCACTCGTCCGTCCAACTCGGGACTGGTGAGTTTCACACCACGTAAATGACGCCCTGGGTTTTAGAAAGCATTATAAACACTTATGCTAAAATGAAAATAAGACAAAAGGGCAGAAAGTATAAGGTCTATCCCCACCCTCTCATTCACAAACAGAGCACTGTTATTTCCACAGTCCCTTCCTCAGAGGGAGCTGAGTTCTTGCTAGTCAGTAATTTTGCACTGATATTCAAAATGACTATGTCATAAATACTCCATTTCTGGACTTATTCCATTCAGGATTTGAACCAACAAACTTGGTGGTCATGTCCCAGGTGTCTGCAGACACAGCTTCATCGAAGGCAGAGGAACGCTGACCCCCAGCACGGGCCTCCGCAGGAGCACCAAAGCCACGCGAGGCCCACCTTCGGCAGGATCTGGGCGAGCTGCTGGGCATCCATGGCGTCGATCTCCTCCCCGGAGACGGACTGGGACGTCTTGGAGTACAGCCCCAGACGGCTGGCTACAAATGCGAGAGAGAGCGTAACCGTGACCGTGACCGAGCAGGTCAGTTTACCTCCAGGGCAGCTCCACCTCCTTAACGTGCATTTAAATAGGAACCGCCAGTCACTTTCTAAGCATAAAAAGGTCTTTGTATCAACAGGTTACAAGACAAACTTCGTCAGGCACACCTGACCTTGCCGACTCAGCAGTAGTCTGAACTTTTGTCTGACTGCTTTATTTTTGTTTAAACTTAAGAATGTAGAGTTTTCACTATTTAAGCCAGCATACCTAAGAACTGAAAGGAGGCCCATCGGGCCTGTTCAGCAGCTCCGTTTTAATGCAGGTCAGAGTGACTTTAAGGAAAGTATCCAAAGCCACACAAATGGTGGAAGGTCTGCGGTAACTGCGTAGTTATACATAACAGAACAGACACAGAAAGTCATCCTCCCCACAGCATTACATTTCTGGTGACTTCTTCGATGACATAGAGTTCGAAACCACTACCCAGTCCCATTTCAAATATGGGAATTAAATTTTTTAGTATAAACTAACAGGCTCTGGGAGATGAACTTTCATGCTCTTTTTCCCAATATGCTTCTCAGGGTAATCTCAAATAGCACTCAAAATAGGTACTGTATGAGAAGACTACAGTATATGCGATAAGTCATTTTTTCAAACTTACAACTCTGCTTTGTAAACTACATTTATGTCAAACAAAAACCTAAATTTGGCATTTCCTCTCACATTCAGGATCTCACAGTTTTAGCCATTGGCGTAGTAAATTAAATGAAAATACATGTGATTTAACAATGAACTAGCTGTGTGTTTTCAATAATATTACCTTTTAAACTATAATCAACTTTCGCCCAATCTTAGAGAGCATGCGCAAAAACAGTGCGTCAATTTTAGTCACACCACCTCCCTGTTACAGAAACACTTCCTGTCTGACGGCTCCCACCACAAGGCGGCCCTGCCAGAGGAGACATCGGAAGCGGAAGGAGGAAGGAAGGAGGAGGAGGAGGAGGAAGGGGCAGGGGGAAGGAGGAAGGGGGCCTGGCAATACCGATGGCAACCGCGATCTCCCTGTTACAGAGACACTCCCTGTCTGATGGCTCCCACCACAAGGCGGCCCTGCCAGAGGAGACGCTGGA